TTGAGCACCTCTTCTATCACCCAAGTTCCTTTTAGGCTTCTTTCTTGAATAGAATGCTGACACTCTTCTCGAACGAAATCTTCACCACATTTTTGACAGTTAACAAACATCAATTTGTTGTTCATTTTTGACGGTAAAACGGGGTGATATAAGTTCTGGTTCGGTAGAATCTGGCATTTAATAAGTCCTGACATCTGCGACAGAGAGGCTGTAACACATTCTTCACCTACGTAAATTTTTTTTGGATGACCCACCGGAAATTTTCCATATTTACAGATGAAGGGGTACAGGGAACATATATCGACATATTTTATGCATTCATTTGTTTTGATCTTGTAGTATTCAACGATATTTTCTGTACGTCCCCCGTAGAGAGCGTCTCTGGGGTTAATCGGTAAATTGATTATCAATGGATGTGCTTCTGTGAAGGCTCTAATTTCATCGTTTAGCATTCCTCGAAATTGACATTCCCATATCTCAATTACTTCTAGTCCAAGGCTTCGGAGTCTCTCTACTTTGCTAACTGATTGTTCGTATCGACTTTCCAATGTATTCAACGGATCATTATGCAGAGGATTGCTTCTGTTGTATTTGAAACATCGAGGGCAACCGTGAAAATAGCATCCTTGGAATTCAAACACTTGATTTGTGTCGCTACAAAAACCGTCTACTTTATGTCCCTTAACAATGGTTTCTATACCCTTAGCGGCGTGTTGAATTTTGATTCCTCTTTGATGTTCCTCCCACAACATCCATTGGATGGCAATTTTTGACTGATTTTCACGCCATCTATAGCCCCCTTTTGGAATTACCCCGATCGTCTCAGGTTTTAAAAAATTGCGTCTAAAGACTTTGTTACAGCATGATGCAATAGTGGTGCTTTCCTGGAAGGGATCGACTGTGGTTTCGGTTTTCATCAGGTCTCGAAATTTGAGACACGCCTGTGTCAATATTTCCACATCGGAGATACAGTATTCAACGATTTCTTTCTGAAAATCAAAAACGTATCCCTCCGCTTGTCTTTTGCCATGCCATTTTAATAATTTTTCTCGAGTGTCTTCTTTTAAATGGTCGGGATCGTAGAAGTCGAGCGCTGGAATTGGCCCTAGATAATTCTGATGAGCCAAAGTGTTGAATAGATGTGGAAAGTATCCTTTCTTTAGCTCTTTCAAATCAAACGCCTTGGGTAGAGCAGTTAGAGGCATAGGAAAATAATTGAGAGAATCCAGAAATTTTACATTTCCTACCTCCATCAATATTAATTTTGTTCCTCTCATAATTACATTTGGGTACAGACTAGTCTTCTCTAAAATGTAACGAAGTAGAAACTGATGATCAAATCCTCCACCATTATGCGCCAGTACAATGACTTTCTTGAATTTTTTACGAAGTGTCAGAATATGATGCATAAATGGAGAAATGACGTCTTGACATCGAAGAATCTGTAATCGAAGGCCACATTTCTTGCATATAGGATTATCGGTACATGATTCACAACATTGTTTGAATACACATAGATTTGGCTCATGAAGTAAAGATCCGTTGGGTAATTCCTTCTCCTGACGGGTTTCCAAATCGTAAAATATTAATAAGACATCATTTGATTTTGGAATACTTCTGTCAGGCTGTATATAGCACATATGTTCAATTGGTTGATTTTTATAACATGTTTTACAAAGTATATGTCCGCAGATGTGATCATTACCGTTGTGAACTTTAAAACAGTCTACACATCTTTTAATTTTAGAACAGACCGATGGTAAATGAGCGTTAAAACATTCTTGTCCATAAAAGCTTCTATTACATTCTTTGCATTCGATGTGCTTCGTTTTCAGGCAGGCCGGAGATCTTTTACAAGCATAACATTGTTTATCACATCTATGAATTTGTTTATTATTATACGGAATGTGGCAGTTCTCACAAAAATAGCTGCAGCAAAAGGCAGCAGTGAGGGATGTTATGACGCTGTAGTGCCCCTCGTGATAGATTAGGTTAAGCGTCGAACCAGTGGACACGCCTTCAAAAATGACGTCACGACCTTTGCACCCAAACTTGTATACAACAATTTTGTAGTTTTGCAGATATCGTTGTAGCTTTTGAAGTTCAGGTATTCCACACCCCTCCTCAGGGATAACAATATCAGCCTTTTCCACAAGTTGTGCAGCTCTTTGTCCTTGTATTTTTCCTCGATCGAGGCGGATTCTGCTATAATCTTTGTCTTTGTTCAAATGGGCCATGGCGATGACAAGGGCTCGTGGGAGACACAAATTATCGGTGTTTTTAACGGTGATAATACCTCTTCTTTTGGTGCATTCCTCATCAAAAGTATTGAAATTCTGACCTCTACCACGACCAGCAGGCAACCTTATGGACGTAACTCCCAAGCAAAAAGTCTCGGTATTCAACCCCACAGAATTTGACTGATAGATGGAAGATATCTTCTCCCATATGTCCTCATTTGAAACGTCGGAAAACGATTTAAAAGCTATCCACCCTTGACCGCGGGTAAAGTCTTTGGAACAGAAAGTGAATCCAACTTGATCACTGGGCTGGAGATGTTCAGTTCCTTTGGCTACTATTTCCTCCAGAGCGTCTTTGATCCATCCCACAGGTTCGACGTCTTTAGGGATAGGTCGTATTTTAAATTCCACTTCTCGCCCATATAGATTAAATTTTTTAATCTTCTTAGTAGAATCCTTAACGATGAAGAATTTTTCCATTTTTTTAAAAACTAAAACGTTAACTAGCGACTAAATCTGAACTGAGCACGTCTGTTCGCTGTAGCTAACTGACAAGATAATTTGCGATGATTCATAGGTATTTATAATCTCAATTATACCCCCACCACTTTTTAACTGACCACAGTGTTCCAAGGTCACCGCTGGCCGGTATTAACTAGTTGACAGCCTGCGCTCCCTGCCCATTCACCCATGCTTGACAGCCCCGCCCGGTACTTCTTGCATATCACAGCTACGACTACACCGGCGCTGAACCTAACCTCATTTGCGACGTAGGTGATTGCCTTGTTGGAATCTATTAGATACACAATATAGACTGTACTATGTTTTCAATATTGTATCAATGTTAAAAATTAACTAACATTAACTGTATGCACCACATATGAGCAATTCCATTTTTATATGCACACTGAATATGACGTGATGACTATTGAGATCATCCTATACGCATTGTTCTCCGCGAATTTTATACGTTTTTCCAATTAAACTGAATCCGCAGAATTGCATCTATAATTACCAGTATTCATCGGCTTTTATCGATCTATATGCAAATATTTACCGCAAAACATGAAATGAGTCACATCACTTACGCATAGACGTTATACTACACCTTACTATCGTTGGCTGTCTGAATCACTTCCGGTCGGGTGCGGCATCTAGCCCGCCAATCAACATATACCATCAACCCCGTTCAAATTTCCCGCCGTCTGATCCGCCAATCAGAGCACGCGGTGGATCTAGCGGTTCCCGCCAATCAACATATACCATCAACCCCGTTCAAATTTCCCGCCGTCTGATCCGCCAATCAGAGCACGCGGTGGGCGTGGCCAAAGTGGAAGTGGTGGGGGGTGTCCATAGTAGCCCATATTCTACTTTGGAAGCCTCTAAGAGAAGTGGTCAGCCTAGAAAACTAAATGCTAGATCAGTTAGATTAATAAAAGTAATTTCGTCCAAAGATCCGTTTAAACCCAAGACAAATAAAAGTCGAAATCGAGACAAAAGGAATTGTCACTGTTTCTACGAAAACTATAAGTAGAAGATTAAATGATTTAAAGTTATTTGCACGTCGCCCGAGTAAGAAGCCGCTAATCTTGAGGAAAAACCGTAAGGACCGATTACAATTTGTACGGTTGCATCTTGATTGGAGCATCAATGACTGGCAGAGGGTATGTTTCAGTGACGAATCCAAGTTCAATATGTTTGGATCAGATGGTGTTCATTACGTTAGACGTCCTAGTGGACAAAGATTGAACCCCAAGTACACTTTGCCCACTGTCAAACATGGAGGCGGGTCTGTTATGGTTTGGGGGTGCTTTTCGGGGTTTGCGATGGGACCTTTACATAGAATAGATGGCAGTATGGATAAGTTTGTATACACAGACATACTAAAGCATGTCATGTTACCCTATATGGAAGACAATATGCCATTAAGATCAATCTTCCAGCAAGACAATGACCCGAAGCACACTTCAAATCTCGCAAAGAAATTCTGCATGAAAGAATACCAGTTCTCAAATGGCCTTCACAGTCTCCTGATATAAACCCCATTGAAAATCTTTGGGAATACTTAGATAAGCAAATACGAGATAAAAATTATTCAAACAAGGATTAACTTTTTGCCGCTTTAGAGCAAAAGTGGAGACAGATTGATGAATCTTATATCAAGAAACTTCTACAATCTATGCCGAGACTATGCCAGGCGGTGATTGATAATAATGGTTATGCTACAAAATATTAACACAAACATGGTTGGTTTTCCATATTTCAACGAACTTTGCTTCTTTTTTCTATAATTGTTTTGCTTTGTCTCTACATTTCTGTCCTTCATAGTTCCAGTTTTTTTCAATTAATTTTTTATTGAAGAGAGTCTAATGAATTTATTTTTGTATAAGTGAGTATTATGCTATAACGAATTATGTATACAGGTTGGTGTATTAATAAAACAAGTTAAAAAAGAAATACAGTACAATATTAATTTGTCTATATAGTTTTGTCCATTACTGTACATAAGACTTGTTTAAATTGAAAAACATGGAAAACTAGAAATTCAATATGAATCAATTTAATACAAATTTGATTCAAAAGATGCAATACGTTCAATAAAAATAATGCATGCATCAAAGTTTCTTGAAGGTTATCTGATGTGATCACGATTCAAACCTCATGTATTCCACGTCAAAATAAACATTACTACACGATCGCGGCTTCTATTCGCTTGCAGGTGCGTGAGTATTGAATACATAGTAAAATACTTTCTTGGATCAACTAAGTGTAATTGACATTCCTCGGGATAATGGTTTTAAATTAAATATAACGATAGCGAATATAAAAACGAAAATCTAAAAATCTAAAAATATTGTTACCTGCATTGCACACGCCAGCTGTTCGACATTTACAATTATTAGCAAAATCAAACATCACTTATATAAAAAAAATAACTCACCGAGGTTCTCTGTCTTGTCTCCAAGACTTTTCGTTTCTATCGTTCGTATTGCTTCGTTCGCTAAAACGAAAACAAAATGGTTTCAACGCTAACCAATACAACGGCAAATATACAAAGGGAGATGAGTTTTCGAGGCATTGAATTGAAAAGGTAAATTTTAGTATCTGATAAATTTTGTGAGAAATCTGTACCAGTAACACTTTCTTTCATGACCTAAATTAATCTGTCAAAAAAGAGATTGTTCTTGATACGTTTCCTTCGAACTAAATTTTTATTCAGCCATGAAACATACATTTAGTAGCTACGACATAAACGATGATCTGAGCTCTAACAATGGACAAACTTACCATTTTTTTGTTATAAGCTCAAATGAAATTTTAAAAAAATGAAATAAGATGGTGAAAAAATTATTAATTTATCTCTAAAAACTTAAAAGTTACAGACTAACAAATATATATAATATTTTTATTGCGTCTGAACGCGACGTGTGACATCACACTTCACTATCCAATGGCCGTGGCAATTTCCTAAACATGCACAATTATTATGCAGGGTACACATACAGCGGGAACACGTGGCAGGCTAATACGATCGATTATGAGCGACACAACAAAAAAAGGATGATATAGATACTGTATCGTTCCAAAATGTACGAGCACAACAATTACAACCCCTAATAAACAGTTTTTCTGTGAGAGTATCATGAAAATATCAGCAAGAAATGGTGCAAACATATGAAGCGTGATATCATTGGACCAAAAAGTACAACATGTCTCTGAAGACCACTTTGATATGAGTATATTACTATTTATTTATGATTATTACTACTATTCGTCATTTATTTGTCTGGGCGATCCCTAGGACCTTTGCCCATTAGTCACTGTCTGATGTACCTTAGTCGAATCTGTCAGTCCTGGTTGCCCAGAAACCAGACAAAGTCAAGGAAAAAGAGAAAGGGAAAGAGAAGAAAAAAGGAGAAGAGCAAAGAAAAACAGATATGCTTAGTTTAAGAGGAAACACCTAGGCTTTTTGACTTGGTACACGGATTCATTTTGAGGTGAACTAAACAAATTTTTGATTCGGTTTTGTTAGAGTGTAATTTTGAGTTTACTAAAGATTTACGCTAACTTTTGATTACAGTGCGAACCGTGGCCTTGAATGTTTACGAACTTGCTCCACTGTGTAGTCCACTGAGTCACGCAACAGAGGGTTGCTGTGCGATTCCGCTTGACTATAACGTCGCTGCGCCTGAAGCTTGACATAGTCCCTCAAGTAAGGAATGTCAAGGTCTCTGTGTAGTGTCTCATTTGAGACACACCATGGAGCATTGCAAATTGTCCGCAAAGTTCTGCTTTGCAGTACTTGAAGACTTTGCATGTGTGTCTTGGCAAGAAAACACCAAGCCGCACATGCATAAGTACTGGCTGGTCTAATAATCATTTTATATAGTCGAACTTTGTTTATCAAACTCAATTTGGAGGATCTACATAACAAAGGATATAGTTGCCGAAACGCAATTTGGAATTTTGTTTTTATGGATGCTGTATGTTTCTGCCAGGTCATGCCTTTATCAAGGGTGACACCGAGATATTTACTTGGCAGAATTTGTCCATGGTACACGATTTCCGTCTACAGAAACCTCTGCTGGAGGGGCCGCGACGTTTTTTGGTACAATAAATAGCCTGCGTTTTCGAATGATTAATTTTTATCAGCCACCGTTCCGCCCACTCTAGAACTTCGTCCACCGCATTCTGCAACCCATCGTGAACCAGATCACCAGTACACGACTGGGCGACAAGTGCAGTCGCATAGAGGTAGACTTCACAGTTGCTGGGGGAAGGGACATCATGGATGAAAAGCGAATAAAGAATTGGTCCTAGGACCGAACCCTGAGGAACACCGGCCCGTATTGGCCGTGTTGTTGATTATGATTATTAGTTATTATATGATTTCCAAGCTCATTACACTGTACACGCGGCATTTGGCGGGGAAATATTTATCAACTAATATTACAGATAATTTATTTCAACTCAGCGAGAATAGCTTTGATCTACTATAGTGTCACTTACCCCCCTAAAAAGGCGTCAAGTAGGTTGACTCTGTACTTCATCATGTGCAATGTTATTATATATTTTAATGAGATTTTAGAAAAGTAACACCTTCATCAAATTAGGTTAGTTTAAATTTAGACTTCGATTGCCTTTTTGTTATTACAGATTGAGAATGATACTGAAAATCTGATAAACTATAAATTAGTCGGTGGAAAGATTGAAGCTGGGAGTCGGAGTAAAAAACCAGTTTCACTGCCAAAAAGGTGTGCGGCCTTTACGCGAATGCAGAGCAGGATGCTTAGACGACTTGCTAAAGAAAGATGTTCCCTCCACCTCAAGTTGGCAACCATTCGAATTCATTCAGTGCGACTCAACTTACGAAGAATCGAAAGCACTAAAAGATCAACTGCTTGAAGATTATACTGTATCTATAGCAGGGGATCATGACACAAAAAATAAACACAAAAAAGAGAATTTTGCGTTTCTATGCTTGTATATGTAAAGAAGGCCACTACTTGGATCTTATTAAGTTTTCTTCGTTTACATTCATTAATGAGTCTACCGAAAAAGTTAGGATCCTCTACTACGCCTAAATTTGAAGAATTTCCACTTTCGTTATTGAAATATTTCTACTGCCAACTTTAGATAGCGCCGGTTTCATCCAGTAACTTTCTACTGAAGTATTTGCAGGTTCCTCGCTTCTTTTCAAAAGCCAGATCAAAAATGTTATCGTGTGATTACATCCACCACGCTTAGCAGCACAATTATGACAAATTGTCACTCAACCCTTTTACAAATCCAGCTTCTATAATGGTACGAACTTACGCAGTTCTCAATAGTTATCAACTAGAATCCACGTGGCCGAGCGCGAAGGTATGTCTTATGAATTGTCTATAGACTAATTGCTAAACGTAAAGACGCTGCCGGCACGCTCGACACTAGTGTGTGTGTAGTCTATTTTGCCATTATGAAAGGAATTTTATCTCCATTGATATTAAAATTTAACACACTTTTTTAGACTGATCTGTGTGTATGTAAAAGGTGGGCCATTCGTTGGTTTCTTTCTTAAATTGGTATTAAAACTACACTTATCAATAATATGTAACACTCGATACTTTATTCAAAAGAATACACCTTCCGATTATTTATGAAAAACAATTTCAGTTAATTGGCTGGCCTCGCAGAAGTCCATCCTCTTATCCCGATTTTGAAGCAAATTTTCTATAGTTTGTGGGTCTATTTCATCGATAGCTAGACGGATATTTTCCTTAAGAACATCAATTGTTTGAGGATCGTTAGTGTAACAGCGGTCCTTAACAGTACCCCATAGGAAGTAATCCATGGGCGTCAAATCACAGCTGCGGGCTGGCCAATGAACGTCTCCAAAACGGCTGATAACGCGATGACCGAACTTAGTATGTAAAAGATCGATTGTTTCACGGCTGGTGTGGCATGTTGCGCCATCCTGCTGGGACCAGAGATTGTGCAAGTGTATGTCGTCTAATAGTGGCCACAAAAAACTCAACATGTCTCTATATATTTTCCCGTTTACCGTCACGCTGTTACCATCTTCATCTTGAAAAAAAAAGTAGGGACCAATAATCCCACCACTCCAAAAGCCACACCAACAGTTATTCTTTTTGGATGCATTTGTTTTTCTATGACGATATGTGGATTTTCAGAACCCCAAGTCCTACAGTTCTGCTTGTTAACGTATCCTCCCAGATGGAAATGGGCTTCGTCTGAAAAGATGATTTGGCGACCAAAATTGACGTCCGTTTCCAATTGATTTAGAGCCCACAGAGAGAAAGGATATCGAAGCGGATGGTCATTTTGTTTCATTTCTTGTACGGGTCGAACACGCTCATACCATCTGTTATCCACAAGCAGGCCAGTTTCACGAATTTTCGTATATCAGTCGCGGACGGAGCTTCATTCCGACCAAATAGTCAATTTTCGCAAAGTTTCTGCAACACAGCATTCACTTTGAAAATAGTTTCTCAATATTTCCCACCTTTGTTCAAGATTAAAACGATCCATTGCTCACAGCGGAAGTTCGACGCAATATATCTGTCAATATGTTGAGCATGGAAGTGTTACCAACTGTCAAAATAATATCAACTTAAAAACAACTGATGACCCACCCTGTATCTATGTACGGAGGGTATCCAAAATAAGGATAATATGATGCATGGGAATATCAGCTTAGGTTAGATTAGGAAAAAGTTGCGTTTTTTGGGACGTATTTACACTATTTAATGATATACCACATGCTACGTTTTTTGTTTTCTTAGTGAAAATAAATGTAAGGTATTTACGTCAAGTCAAGCAACGTCTACTTGAAAAAAAAATTGAAAAACGCATTTTTCCTTATAACCAAAAAAGTAAATGTAACATGTGATACATCGTTGAATTCGTATAAAAAGATGCTATTAGATACAGGATGTACTTTTTTTCAGACCATATAAAAAATAAAGTTGATGATGGCCTCTCAAAAACAAAAAGTCGCGAACAAAATTGATAAACACCATCATGAAGTGCCTAAAAAGTACCAATGGGAAGATTTCAGTAGTTTTTTTATATATCTTAAAAGTCAGAATAAAATAAAAATGATTTGGCCATATTTTAGTCTTTCCCAAATATCTCAGTAACCCATTAATTTTTTTCAAGTTTCTCGACGACATGTAAATACGCCTCAAAGAATGCAGCTTTTTGCTAAATTTAACCTAAGCTCTCTATCTCACACAGGTATTGAGATCCTCATGCACAGGATGCTTATCTTGGACACTATGTATAATGTATCTACGTATGTAAAGGAATTTTTTAATCTAATTTTCACCAATTTCAAGAAGTCTGATTAACTTGAAAATTTGCACAGGTCAATGAATACAATAATTTTGGAAAAAAATCGAATTTGAAATTTTTTTAAAAATTTAAATTTTGAAATTTGGAAAAAAATTGGATTTGTAAATTTGGAATATAACTTGACGATTTAGAAATTTTGATTTTTTTTTGGAAAATTTAGATTTGTCAAATATAAAATATACCAACAATCGAAGCTCTTAATTATAAGTACTTCTGGTTTGAGACTAAATTTTCAGAATGAGATGCAATTAATGATATTTTCTTAACTACAATTTTGTAAATTGCAACTAAAAAAATAGTTCTAACATCCAATATCAAGAACTCCTCGATTTTTTACTATGATTGAATTTTTTGTTAATATATTAAGTTTTATATTATAATCTTATTACAAATTAAATATTACTACTTGATTGTTGGGTTTTCTTCTGTAGTACTTGAAAATTATTTCACAGTTTTTAGTTGAATTTGCAATTAAATCGTGTTTTTTTTGTTATTTTTAATTATAATTTATTCTATACTACTTTTCACTTACCGTCCAAACTTTCGTTCTCTGAATCCCTGTTCTCTGTTATTCTGAACTTGAGGAGATTTTCTAAGATCGATCTTGTTACCAGCTTGAACAGCAAGCACCGGGCTGACTTGGGACTTTGCTGCAGCCAATTTGTCCAATAAGAGAGATGCGACGTTGTAGTTAGATCCGTCGTAAAGTTCAACCAGCGCTTTCTTTTGAACCATCTCGACAACTTTCATGGTGAAGGTATCTGAAATTTACAAGCAAGAAAGTTATTATTTATAGATATCGATTACACAGTAGCGGACTAAAGTTTGGAAACATTCTTAGTAATTTATAAAAAGTGCGCTAGGTCTTTATTCTTTATTATTAACGACTATTTTTTTTATAGTTTGTTTACAGTCTTGAGGATACAAATGACAATTTGTATTTGCTGTGGTACTACAGACTAGAATTAAAATTCCTTCATATTATTTTATGACTAAACATGAGACGACAAAAGTATGGAAACATATTTTTTATTACAAAAACCATAACTTTAAAAAAAATTTTAAAAATACTGTTTAGCTAATATTTGGTAGCGTACCCATTCAACACTGCCTGACATCTGCTGCTCATAGAAGACACTATTTTTTTACAAACGTTTGTTCTGATATTTTGCCAAATATCTTTTACATAATCACATAATAATAAATAATCGTTCCTATTTTTAAAAGTTTTTCTAGTCAGTTGTCTTTCAACATGCTCCCATAGATATTCTATAGGGTTTAGGTCCGAGGATTGCGAAGGCCATGTGAGAACATTAACGTTTTTTTAGTCTTAATCAGTCCTTTACGAATTTTGAGGTATGCTTGGGGTCATTATCTTGCTGGAATGTCCATCGTAAAGGCATTTCTTCTTCGGCAAAAGGAGCATATGTTCACTAAGAATATCTTTGTAAAGTTTTTGATCCATTTTTCCAACAATTTTAACAATTGGACCTGTTCCAGAACTAGAAAAACAACCCCAAACCATGATGTTGCCTCCATCGTGATTAACTGTTGGCATCTGATACTTTTTGGCGAATCGTTTTCGTATTGGACGTCTCACATATGCCGTGCCGTACCGTCAGATTCAAACAAGTTAAATTTGCTTTCATCGCTCCATAAAACTGTATTCCATTATTGTTCTGTCCAAGTTAGACGAGTTTTAGACAATTCAAACCGAGCAATACGATTTTTTTTAAATGAGAGGCTTTTGCACTGGACGCCTACCAAAAAGTCCAAAATCCACCAAGCGTCTCTGCACTGTTCTGACAGAAATATTCTCGGCATCCTCTTCCACGATTGTTTTGAAAAACTGTGTGGCTGGCATTCGAGGATCTTCATGGGACAAACGTTTAATGTAGCGATCCAAAACATAGTAGGTTTTTCTGGTCTTCCGCACCTGGGCCGCATTGCTGTTGATCCGTATTCTTGATATTTACTAATAATTTTCGAAATCGTCCGTTTCTTCATTTTGAATTTCTGAGAAATGTCAACATTTATGACACCACTTATAAATAATTCAATGAATTTGTTTCTTAAATCTTCTTTAAAATTTACCGCACGCAATATCGCAGAACGAATAAATACGGCAAAACTGAAATGTTTCCATACTTTTGTCGTTACAAAAAATGTGGTATTTAAAAAAAACAAGTACTTTTATTTTCAGAGAATTTCAATAATTATAAGATAATAATGTTAATATTTGTTTCCACACATTTGTCCGCTACTGGTGCCAATACATGGTCAATGTAGTGACGTCACTTAAAGTTTTGGTGAACACAATAAGACAAAGATTACCTTCTAAAATGATTCCTTCCAATAAGCTGTCTCTTTCAGCATCTTCGCCCATGTTTTGATATCCATTGAGACAGCATTCAATGGCTTGTGGTCTTAAAACGGTTAGTTGTTCACCATCAATTGTTTTAAGTTGCACAACTGGTACTACTGCTTCATTTCCAAAATCGATATATCGAACCTAATCAACACAAGAAAGGGCGTCAAGTATGTTGACTGTGGACTTTCCACGCAATGCCATTATCGGTTCATAAAGGATTATGTTCACCACACGCATGACCCCTCCGAGAAAAAAGTCAATTAGTCCATAGAAATTCTTTCCCTGCCCAACCGGTAGTCCATCTAGCAACATCGCCTCTCCCCGATACCTAACTCTGTCAGACGTGGCACCGCGGTCACAGCAAAGGAAATATGCTATGGCGCGGTAGTAATACCAGAACACTTACCAGGACCAGCACGCCGCCGGGAGCACAAGCAGACGCGGTCGTTAGGTACACCATCCGTCTGCTGAGAGTATTTTTTAAATTTTTTAGGGCTAATGTACGGGGAAGTCTATGTGTGAAATATGTCTAATAGGTGCGTAGAATGATCAAGGTTGGGAGCGAATAAATACAGGGTGTAAACGTTATGGTAGTCAATATTGAAATGGCTAATAGGGGGGGGGGGGGTCAAAACAAGTTAAAAAGTTCATATGACCCATGGTCCAAAAGTCAATAGATTTTTGTCTAGATGGCTTTATAGTTTACAACTTTAAGTGCTTTATATCGACCACAATCTTACTAACTTTTATAATATAATCTAAAACGTTTTTAAATTGGGTAATTAACAAATAAATGGCATTAAGTTTTTCTAAGTTAAGCCAAAATTTGTAGTCAGTAAGTTTCATTAAATTGAATATATAAAACACACATGACAACAGCGCGTCGTCATCACTCTTATCGAACCGGCAATCGATCGCAAACGGTAACAGTGGTTAGTTATCGGGCATCGGGCGTGCTGTTTTGTTTTTGTTCGCGTAGGTCGTCAAGAGTTCGCTGACATGTTGTTAGTTTACGGTGAAGCTCATCAGAATTCAAATCTTGCAGCTCAAATTTATCGCGGCAGATTTCGCCAACGGGTACACCCAGACAGAAGGACATTTGTGCAAATGTACCAAAGACTTCGAGATACAGGAGGTGTTCAGCCCACTAATATTCGCTCTCGTGAAAGACAGGTTACTGTAGAGCAGGAGGAACAAATTTTAAATATCGTGGAAATCAATGCAGACGTCAGCACTCAGGAATTAGGCCGCCGCGTAGGTTTATCGTATACCATAGTCCATAGAATCCTACGGGAAAATTTTCTTTATCCCTACGATGTACAACGAGTGCAGGCCTTGTTACCAGAAGACTATCCTCGCAGACTAACGTTCTGTCAGCGGTTTTTGCACAAAAAGCGACGGACGAATGTACTTTTACGCGAGACGGGATATTAAATTTCCATAATACTCACACGTGGGCCCAAGAAAATCCTCATACCAATCGTGAAGGTCAAAGTTTTAAAATAAATATTTGGACGAGTATTCTTGACGATCAGGTAATTGGCCCTTTCAAGTTACCCCCAAAGTTGTCAGGAGAAGGATACCTTAGCTTTCTAGCCAATAACCTACCAGAACTTTTGGAACAGACCTTAGACAACATGCCTTTACAACGGAGACAGAATTTGTGGTTTCTTCATGACGGGGCACCACCACACATTTTTAGAGGCGTCATTCAGTATTTGAATGAGCATTATCCAAATCGCTGGACCTGTCGAAATGCTCCTGATCCTCGAAAATGGCCAGCAAGATCTCCTGACCTCAATCCGATGGATTTCTGGTATTGGGGGGAACTTAAAGGGATGGTTCTGGGGGCTGGTCCAATAACAACTGAAGCACAATTTCGCGAAAAAAATTTTTAATGCGGCTGAGATAATAAATGTACAAGTTCAAGGACCTAGAGTAAGAAGAAACTGGGTTCGTCGTAATGAAGCTTGTGTGGGAAGTGGAGGACCACATTTTGAACACCTTCTTTAAATACAAAAAAAGTTCAGTGTAGGTTTTAAAAAGAAAAACAATGTGTGTATCAAAATTGTGTTCCCTATTTATAAGTGGATTTTTTTAATACGTTCAATAAACTTTCACCCACCAGGTGAAGCACTGAGACAGTGGTAAGTCCGTTTTTTTAATTGTTTGCATTTTACGAGTACATTATTAAATAATGAAATAATTCCTAAGAGCCAAAAATAACAAACTCCATCTTTATTTACACTACGTTCCGTCGTAATTTGCGTCTGGCATTGCGGCGTTGTCAGATTTTATTTTACTTTAGTCGCTTTTCCCAAAAAAATGCCGTTTTGACCCCCATGTTATATGAAACTTTTTGCCTCTTTTAACCCCCTCTATCACCGATTTAAATAATGACTATTATAACGTTTACACCCTGTATACTAACATCAATAAAATTGAGATATACCCTCCCTACACCCCCCCCCAATTGTTTACCTTTCAAAAATTATCAGGATCATCTGAAAGATGAAAAAACGCATTTTCATCTGTTTTTTTGGCCTATTTCTCCGCCGCCATTGGACCTATTTTTAAAAACTACAAAGCTTCTTCATCCTTCCATTGTGTAAATATTTCATCAAAAACCGAGCGGTACTTCTCAAGTTTAGGCGGTTATAAGATTAGCGGACAGACAGATAGACGGAAATGAGTGACAAGGTTTTTCGAAAAGTTTCGTGATGTAAAAATATATCATATCATAAACTCTTCATCATTTTTTACTAATGGTTACGGAAAACAGAGTCGGCAAGATGGATAACAATAAACCTAGATCCTTGAAAATACAGTTACTCTATGGTCAACATCTGAAGAAAATTGTAATGTTATTTGTTTCAATCGAAAATGAATGAACAATTACATTGATTTGTTTCTATTTCTGTTGATCAGGTCAGAAAACTTTCTTTTTTGATCATCTGAAGTCGAGAATGGACCTGCTACTAAAATTTCTAGTAAGTTCTTTTCACTGATAAGTTCGTGATCATGTAGGCAGAACTATTCATCTTCAAAGTTCTCGGTTGACAATCCAAGTTGTGATACTAGTTTTCGAACACGCGGTGTTCATTTACGAAATGAATTATGTCTCATACCTTCATGCTATCAGGTCCAGTAATTTCAACGATTTCTGCCCGGTACCATTGTCCATCGTCTTCAAACAGAGCACAGCAAGGCAAGCCTACATTAACAGCACCTGGATCCATGTAGTCACTTGCTTGACAGACCTGTTGAAGGTCTCGCATAAGACTACTTAGTTCGGCTTCTTTACTTACTAGTTGGACGTAAAATCTAAAAAAAAATGACGCAGAAATTATTTCCATTCAGTGAACGTAACATGAATTATCGTATGTATAAAATGAAAGAAATTACAGTAATTGATTTCAAAAAGTTGCGAAAAACACTTTTACAACACAATATACCTGATAAAAATTATGGATAAATATGTGAGAGAAGCTGCGGTCAGATAAATAGTATATGAAAGAGTGAAACCAATACCCTGGGTTTCACAGATATTCAAAGGGTCTGAATTAAAACGCGAAGAATGGCTACAGAAAATGTTTAATAACCCAAAGTCTGAATGATTGAAAACAATATACAAACTCAATGAACGAGTGTGTAGCAGTTCTCAGGAGGGAAAAGCAAAAATAATATGTTAAGATCGATAGCAATAAAAATGATTCTAAGATGATGCGGAAAAAATTAAAGAATATTGCTTCTAGAAATAGAAAGAATGAATTAACTAAAATGCGTTTCGAAGATGGGGTAGTGACAGAAAAAATAATTATAACAGACAGAATGAACACTTATTTTCTAGACAGTATAAATCAAATAGATATTCCCAAGTGTATTACAAGTATATCATAATTCACCAATGAATCAATGATCGAGGATCAGTGCATCAACATCACGTTTCTTGCAAAGCTAGGCAAGAATGGTCGTGAGATTTTTGAGTGTTTGGAACAAGCTTACGGAGACAATTCTATGAAGGTTGAAAAGGTTTTGGGAAGGCCGAGAGATGTGAAAGATGACCAATGCTCAGGACGCCCCTCCACATCGAGCTCTGACGGAAATGTTGAATGAATTCGGGGCTGTGTTCTTAAAGACCGTCGTCGTTGTTATTTAGAAGTATGAATCCTACGGATTTAGAGAATTTCAAGTAGTTGCGTGAAACTGCGTTCGCATTACCAACAAGTGCCAAAACCTGCATTTTGCCTCGTTTCCCGGCCATAACATTTTTGCTATTAGGAGGATCTTTTTACGTGTGGTCGCATTTTGTAGGTCTCATAAATGTCTAAAAATCTTATATGAAAAGCTTTTTTGTTCCTGTCAACACTTTCGACTGAATCCCAAAAAACACGTATTCTCATTCTTTGTTGTCAAATAAAAAGTTTTTCCACAAAAATTGGTGTGCCCATTTTATGCGTCCATGTTTTCAATACCCTCTTGTACAACTTGCACCAATAAATCCAGGCTTTACAATTATTTCGGGAAAATTTCCTAATATGCAGTCTGGTTTGGACACGGTCCTGAGATAAATTCGTTCCCATGCCCGAATCCAGTCACTAAGTGCCAATGTTCCTTGTGCTGGTTTCACACAAATACTTGACTGTATAGGGTGGGGATAATCCTTTCTTTGCTAGCTCATCTGCCCTTTCATTTCCTGCGTTAGCTGAATGTTCTGACTCACACACCAGAGTTACTTTGTTGTGTTCCGCCAGTGTGTTCAGTTCTTGTTGGCATTCTCAGATCAGTACCGACTACATTTTGATGATATATTTATATCAATTACTGGAAGTCCAAAAACCCTCACACAATATTTACCTGTTACAGCTGTAAACATAACTGATCTTCACTGGTTGGCTGAAGCCCCTGTTCAATGAAATCGGTTCGGGATAAGCATGTCTTGCAGCCCTGTTCACTACATCTAGAGCACTGGTCTTAGTTGTGGGATCCAATAGTACGCATTTTGGTACTGGCATTCTAATAACAAAAAAAACACTCATTAGTAATTGGAAAACATTAACAAAACAATATTCACCTTTTCGGTGAATGTAGCACTGTCATATGCAGCAGCCTGTTGTCTACAAATTGTTTGAATGCACACTGCATTTCAAGTGTCACAGTAGATTTTTCTACGCCGTCAAGTGAAAATCGAACGGCCATGACTTTTGGAAGGACGCATTTAAATGGTATCTGATATAAGGATTCCAAAGGAACCACTTCATAGTTGCCGAAATCTACGTAAAATACCTAAAACAATAAACATATTTAAATCTGAGAAAATAATGGTAAATTAGATGACAAAAGTAAGTATGTAGATTGTACGAGGGTGAAACAAATATGAACAATAATAATTTTATTGGTATACTAAATTTATTTAGATCTTATTTTTCTAAATAATCTCCTCTCTTATTGATGCATTTTTCCCATCGGATCGAAAGTTTTTTAATTCCCTCATCAAAGAATTAAACTGGTCGTGTCAGAAGCCAATTGTGCACGAACGTTTCCACACCTTCGTCGTCTTCAAAGTGGTGACGTCCCAGGTCTTCTTTAAGTGGTCCAAACATGTGATAGTCACATGGCGATAAATCGGGACTGTAAGGCGGGTGTTCAATGCAGCTGTCTGTGGCGGAGCGTTGTCATGGAGCAGAATGGTACTTCGAATAGGCATGTCTCGCCTTTTTCGCGGATAGGCCAGTTTCACTTCTTTAAGCAGTTGGTAGTAGTAAGCAGCATTAACTGTAAATCAACTAGCATTACACCTCCGGAATCCCAAAAATACCGTTGCAAGAACTTTTCCTGCAGAAACACTGGTCTTGGCTTTTCGCGGTGCTGCCTCTCCAGGCTTTCGTCACTCCATGGAAATGTTTTTGCCAGTCGTGTACTTATGTCCTTGAAATTGTGTTATCACCGAACTGTGCTGTTAATCGACTTAAAATTTCGGAAGGTTTTACGCCCTCCCGCGCCAAAAAATTTATGATAATACGTTGCGCAACAGACGTGTGCAACTCTTGCTTAGCCATGATGTTAACAACAGCTTATCTATTTCGGCGCGCTAAACCGACTGACTCCCCTCTTCCTGATATCCCCACCCAACATATACCAAGACGTCGCCCCACTCCATTCACCCTCGTACATTATCAGTAATGATTTTTTTCATTTTGAAAAAGTAACCTTAAGAACTTGGCTGGATGAAGAAGGCAAACAATCATGAAAAAGAAATATTTTGCTTCATCTACCGGAAATATTTAACCAAATAGGTTGAAATGTAGAAAACAGCCCAATAACCAATACAAGTGTAAACTAAACATGATGTTTTCGTTCGCCCGACCAAAAATACACCCAACCATGGACAGCTGTTTCTTGGCTACTCATCATCATGATCTAGGCTTGATCTCTTGTCTCTGGACAAACGAACGAAAGCATCACAACTACCTTCTATACCAATGGTACAGTCTATCTATTATTGCAATAAAAGTGTATTGATTAGTTATTTTTGAATACAGCAAACTACTGACAAACGTATCTAATATTCAACAATATTTGTTTACCTTAAATTGGTTGTCCACTTCATTTGTAACTACAGCCCTGCATATGTTATTGTCTTCTTCGCATCTAGCCAGGCAGACAGTTCCTGGTATGGGAACATCTTCCAGAGGTCTGAGTGTGATTGAATTGATGTCCTTCATCAACTTGACCAAGTAATCTTCCATTTGTTTTAGCTGCACAGAGAAGTGGCAAGGCCCATCGTTGACATAGGATACATAAACTGGATATACTTTGCCAGGTTCCAAGGTGCAGGCCTTAGTAGAAGAAAAAACTAATTATAACGTGCCGCTAAGATGTGACTAACTATATTATATGAAGGTGTGCACTATGCATGTCCTAGGCATGCTTAATATTTTTGTACTGATACACACCGGGGGTTGAATGTATCATTACTTTTAAGTCACCTTTTCTGCTACTATTATTTAGAAAGGTTTTTAACAAGATTGCGCCCTTTAGCCCTATTGGGCTTAATTATGTATAAAAAGCTTGAAGTAGTACCAGATAAAACCAAGCATCAGATTTAGCTTTCACAAAATTTTATAAAATATGATCTCAATCAATCCAATCGAATAATAAGCTTTATTCCAGAAACCATCCACCTAGTTCTGAACTGAACAGAGTACCCGCAGATCGAAACTATCGTTTCAACAGAAAATGGAACTGATCCCGTAACTGGTAGTGCACTGTTCCAACTATCTCCGAACTGATTCCGAATCAGTTCTAACAGTTCTAGTTCTGAGAGCGAACTGGAAGTTCGAATTTGATAGTGCATGCGCGTTAACAGAATAAAAAATGGCATCGAAAAGTCGTTCATATCTGGGCTGCTGGGTTTTGTGGCTGCCATTTTGAGCCATTTCCACGTTTTCAATCTTCTCATATATCAAACCTAAATTTTGACTGCGTATAAATTATCCCGGAATTTCACGTCTAGCCACGGAAAGTTGATAATTTTAAATTTTACTTCAATGAACGTTATGTTTACAACAGAATAGTTTGGAACTAGTTTTGAGATGTACTTAGCTTGGACAGGCGCAGAAAAATAATTCGGAATCAGTTTTGTACTAGTTCGGAACTGATTATTGGAACAAACATTCCTTATTATTAATGATTTGATTTATTACCGACACCTCCGCCTATGATGAGGTAATAAATATTAACGATTCAGGATATTTCGATCCACATTTGTTTATAAAATGAGCGAGTACTTGAGTAATGTGGTATAGTGGGTACCTCGTCCTAACGCTGGCATTTCAATTCCGCGCCGAGTTACTATTGGTATTTTCAATAACTTGAATTATTAGCGTATCTTCTGGTCCTTACCAGATTTATCACTAACTACCACCATCATCGACTTTCACAAAATATTGGGAAGGCTCATATCAAACAGGTCGGCCGATAACTAGCATAGAATCGCAGAAATGTATTGGAAAATACGTGTGATCGCAACAGTTACGTGTCCTACGCGTATGGAGCATATGTTGGCATTAAAACTGTCTTTAAATAGACGGTTTCAAAGTTTACAGAACATATACGAGCCCCTTCCCACTTCAGTTGGCCCACTTCAAGATTTGTACCAAAAGGTCCAAGTGCAGTACAAAGAAAACCCCAAAATACTTCTCTAGGTGTCCCAAAGAACAAAAAATGTGTGTTTTGAGAATCACGATCCTTCAACCCTCCTTCCTCTACATTTCTGTTTCAGCTTGGATTATTAATCAGATAAAATGTAAAGAATCAGGAACACAACTAAATGATTCGTTACAGAATATGAATTACCTTGTAGGTGAGTGTAGGTATATTACTTGGCGACGTTGGCGATGCTTGTTGTTGCCCCTGTTGTTGTTTCTGCATTGTCATGCTAAGCATCACCGCCTGTTGAGCTTGCAAGGAGATTGGTTGCATCAAACTACGCTGGATCAGCACGCTGCACAGATCAGTGTTGTTCAAATATATCTTCACCAGGTAGTATTGGGTGGCCTGGGCCAAAAGGGTGCACTGGACGTCGCGGAACCTCAGTTCTTTAGAGATGCTTTCAAAGATACTGTCATTCCATTGTCCGCCACCAATGCAGTGAGCCTCTGTCACAATAATGGGAAGTTAGAAAAACTATATTTTTTCTGTGACGGGAAAAAATTTTGACATTTGATCTCTGTTGACAGGTAAAAAATGTCACTTTTTATGAAATTACTTTTTTCCCCGGGAAAAAAATGAGTAATTTTTTCCCGGATATTGTATGAACGATTTAGCTGGCAATTATTTTTGTGACGCTACTTTAGCTACTTCTACTGATTCCAGTGGAGTCAATGAAAATTCGGAATCAGACATTTTTTACTTTATAGTATTAAAATAACTTTTAAACATCCATTAAGTTCACAATTTTTAAATCAAATCACAAAATTAAATTGACAGCTATTTGATTACTTTGAAAGTTTCCTTAGCAACGCAGTCTAATTATCGCTATAAGTAAAACATAGCCTACTAATTTCAAATTTCACATCGATAATTTTCTGAATTAAATATCGTAATATAATTTTTCAATATTAAATCGTCGTTTTCCCCATCAAAAAAAAAATGTGTATTATACACGGGAAAAATGCTGCGAGTCGGGAGACAATACAACCTCAAGCAAAGATCTAATACCTTTTTCTCTTGTATAATACATAACTATTTCACATTCAATTTTCCTTTCAGACCAGTTCCATTTCCTTATCATAACAAACTTAAAACGGACGAATAGCGCTTTGAAGCAATCATCCTCAAATCGACTCACTATTGGGTTAAGATCTTATTTCTGAAAACGTGCTACCAGATTTTCAAGCCGCCCTATCAATACTCTGCCACCTCATGAAAATGGTTTGGAAATAGCTGTCTATAACCGACTGATTGAACCCAGTGCCGGATGTTTCGTTGTTCGATTTTCGTCCGCCGACGCGCATGACGTCACTCTGAGAGTGATTCTCATTTGGGTTGATATGGATAACGTGCATATTTTCACCTACAGGCCAAACGGCTGCACGGATTTTCACATAGGAAGTGTCGTTCTATAAGTTTATGTTTTATTGCCAATTGCTGGTGGATGACTTTGGCTACATCATCGTGGCGTCTAATGTATTCCGTATTTGCAAGGATAGATCATCCTGCAGTAATGTCGTCTATAGCTTATATTTATTCTTTGCATAATCTGTCTGTTGTTGTGTTTGAATCTTAGTGATGTTTTTGCTGTAGGACCTGGTGTTTATTGTTTGATCTTTTATAGCTATCATATATCCTTCAGTTTCGTTGTATATATTTCCTCTTGTCAGCCATGCATTTGATGCTGTTTGACCTACCTCTGTTAGATAGTGTAGATGTCTACCATGTAGAATTTTCTCTTTCCAACTTTCCCTTTTTGTGTCATTGGTTGAAACATTGTCTGTTGGATTGTTTGATTGGACATTGAGATTCAATGTGGTAGCTGATATATTTGATTGAATGATGGCTCTATAAATGTTACTCGTCATTGCCCTTTCTAGAAAATATTTTTTCAGGTTACATATCTGGTCATAGTTTAGATTCTTGATATCGTTCTTTTCTTTTAGTGTAAATTTTTCTGTTGCTGAATGTATGTGGTGTATTCTGTATTTATTCCATAGTGTTCTTGTAAGTGTGCTTAATCCAACAAGTTTTGCACCACTTTATTATTCCAAAAGAATATGTTAGTATCAGTACTGTGTATGTGATGAGTGCTTTTGCTTTATTCCTCTCTGTTAGTTATTGTTATTGACTTGCATAATTGAAAATTTAATTGAAGTACTGGAGGGCAGTGTGCTGGATCCACTTCTTTTTATTTTATATCTCATATGCATCTCTCAGTACTGGCATGCTCTCACAGTAATCTGGATACAGCTATTAACAAGATGAATATTGTTTTGGATAAGGTCAATAACTATTTGAAACTTAATTCTCTTAAACTTGATTTGGCAAAAACAAATGCTATGATCATAACAACTAAATATAAATATAGTCTCATTAACATATATGATGTTAATATTCACATTAAAAATGAAACAGTTGAACTTGTCACCATAGTCAAGTATCTGGGAGTTCCGTTGGACAACTGTTTAGCTATTGAACATTTTGAATACATCTGTAACAAGATATCAAAGAACTATAATTTTTTTCAAGAATAAGCAGCTCCCTTTCACTTCATACAAAGTTAACAGTCTACATTACAATACCGCCACATTTAGACTATTGTCCAACATTTAATTACTTATTCAATATAACTCAATTAACTGAGCTGCAAAAACTATAAAATGATGCAATGAGAGTTATATAAATGTAATCGTAAATGCTGAATGCTGAATACATAATTTTTTTATCTGTATTGCAAAAAGTGTTCTACCTGACAATGGTTTTTATCTTTAAGATAATTTGAGGAATGGCTCCTATGTACTTAATTGATCAGATTATCTTTGCTTGTGATGTTCACCTTTATCGAACCAGACAAAACATATATATAGTACATTTCTAAACCAACTAGAATGAGCTCTATGAATTCACTATATTTTAAAGGTTTTAAATTGTCTACGCACATCAAATAATGTTCAACTCCTCATAGATTCAAGAAAGAGCTGCTTAAATTGATTTGTAATTGATGTTTTTGTATAGTGTGCATTTGCTGATTGAGGTTCTTTTCTTTCAAAACATATTTATTTTAAGGTATCGAATGTCAATCTACACAACTTACAAAAGTGGCCTGTAGAAAATCCACATCTAATGAGACAAGATAGATCACAGCATCCTCTTAAAGTAAACATCTGGAGCCTGGATTCTAAATGGGACAATCATTGTATCTTTAAGCTGCCAGAATTCTTGATTGGCGAAATTAATTTAGACTTTTTACAAAATTATTTACAAAATTGATTGGGAGCATGTGCCACTAAACATTAACAGAAACATGTTCTACCAGCAAGACTGACCGACTGGATCAGGCGGTCTGATACAATTTTGTGGCCAGCCCATTCACCTGACTTAAATCCACTCAATCTTTTTTGATGGAGGCGGTGAAAAAGTTTAGAGAATAGCGGTAGCAGCTGAATTTGTTAATAGCGGAAGATTAGCCCATCGGATAATCCAATCATTTTTAAGTTGTCAAGATTGCACTGCTGCTGACGGAAGCAATTTTGATTTCATAAATTAATAAAAGTGCCATTACTATGTCTTGCCTCCCCTATGTAGAATAACACTGTCCCTCACTCTGTCTAAGAAAAAACCGAACCATGTCAATCCCATTGGTCTGTCTATTAGAATCTGTTTGGAGATCATTGACATCCAAAACCAGAATGTATTACTCAGATGTTGACATTTTGTCAAAAGGTTACTACTAAAGCAAGTATGTTTTTTGAAAATGAAACCAGCTATCGCCGAGTTAAGAGCAAAAATAAAATAAACGTTTTTTGGCGTAGCAAAGTCCCTCGATTATTCTAATGTAATCAATACTCGACACTGGGTTGTGTTTCATTAGCAAATTGATGGATAAGATTGATTGAACACAAGAGGGGGTCATCGATATGTAATGGAAAGGGTGTTAAAGAATCTTATTTGGCAAACTACAATCAATGGTTTGATGAATTTTGATAGCTCATAGTTATGCATAGCATATACAGGTGAATATGGATGCAGAGCAGCATTTTGTGCAGAATTATGGTTATCTACAACTATCTAAGTGCTTGACTATCTGCACTCGGCAGTGTAAACGTGAACAAAGACCCACGAGGACCTAGATGTTGAACATGAACAATGGAATATAGAAAACTGATTTCTCAAATACCATTTTTAAAAAAGAAGAAGTAGTTACTCCATGATTTTTAAACTTGAATGTACATGTAGTACATACCTGCAAAGATGAATCCTACTGCTAGTGGTGGTATTGATATTAGGGACGTGGGAAATGTCTGGAGGCTTCTAACGTTCGCACAAGGTACTACATCTCTTTGGCCATAATCTAAAAAACTGACCTCCACAAATCCTTCGTGCAAAAAACTTGTGTTTATTATCCTTGCCCGGTAATATTTATCGTCCTTATATTTGGCGCACACAAGTGTTCCTACATGCATACTTTCCAGTGTCATCTTGCCTACCCCCAACTCGAATTGCTGGCTGGCAGACACAAGAAACTGTTCAACGTATGTAGCACTGCTCTTGTCTTGTTGCCCCCATATCTTCAAAAAGGGGCCTTCCTTCTCCAGGTGTGTGATGTACAGATTTAAACTTTGATTATGGAGGACGTCCATTTCTAGCGTATAGCAATGCCTTTTTTGTCTTTCAACTTTTTTTATTATTTTTGATGTTCAAATTCCGAACCGGCGTGAGCTCAGCAGCATCTTCTCAAGAACAAGAACGATTTAGTGTAATTTGAAGAAACTCCGGGATTTTGTGTTGTAAATTGTGGCTGCGCTGCGCATTTCAGACCCAAGAATGCGTGGTTGCCAAGTTTAATTCTTCATAGGAATATACTGTTTGGGCTGCTATTCTGCAACTCCTCGGAACTTACCGATTAACGACAACTGTTGGAAAATCCGATTCCTATAATCTGAAATATGGCCCGAACTTTTCGAAGACCACTCAGAAATTGATGAATACTACATTACCTATCCACCGAAGTTGATAATATTAAGCGGTCTGACATTGATAATTATGGATGAAATATCGCGCATCGGCAGTGTGTCCCGCCGTTCCATTTTAATGAATAGGTACGATGCTAATCGCGCGTTTACATGATGCTCATCAATTTACAGCTGGTGTGTTCCGGCACGTGTATGTTGAGTTGAGGTCCCGAATTATTTTACCATTCATATGGTGTCGCTCAATAGTGAAATGTCCCAGAGGTTTATGAAAACATATTTTTAACTCAAGCAAAGTAGGTAAAAGCGACAACGTCGCGGCATTACCTAATTTAAAATCTCGATTGTCAGCACTGAAGAATTACCGCGCGATGTAGACTTCATTTTAAAGCAGGTCAAGCTTGGAAAGGAAGCATAAAAAATTAACTGATGATTCATCATTTCTATTCCACCAAATTAGAGAACCGTATTATTATACTTAGATATATATTATTTATAATAATATAGGAAAATGCTTTTATTTACGGGCGTATAGGGTTGCGACTCTTGTACGATTTTATGTAAATGAGCAACAGCTTATTTATGTAATAATTATTACCTGGAAAGATGGCCCAGTTCTTCGTCTTGTACTGCTTACTACCTGGGTTGGACACGTTAATCAACAACCAAGGTTCTTAGTAGCGGAAGGGAAAACAGTTATACTTGCTTTATTGGTTGCATAGATTAGGCTTGTGTTCAACCAATAAATTCAAAAGAAATAAGATAATCAATATTGATTGATATAATATGTACATACAGTAAAAGTGGTAAATTTATCGTTATTTTAGACTACATACGGAAAACGAAATCTTTTAATAAAAGCAAAAGGGAGTTGTAATGCTTAATGATTTGCTTCAAAAGCCCGCAAATGTTTCCATAAGAAAATGCTTTTGAACTAGTAAAATATTTACCTATTTTGTTATTTACATTGGTACCTGTACAAAAATATGTCTGCATTGTGATTATTACTTTTGTTTTTGTTTACAAAACCACTATTGGATAATAAAAACAGTCTGTTTATTTTGTACCTATTCCATTATTTTGTTAGGAGAATTTTCAGTTGGGTACTTCAAATAAAACTACAAAATTATTCATATGCATCTTTATTCATAATATATTAATATATTGTACAATAAATATGGTCCACAATCAGAGGAAAATAGAGGTACATAGTTTATAATAAATGTGTAGAATAGTATTATTGCATAATACACTTTACTCCTGCCTCATAGTAAAATCACATAATAAAATTTATTCATATAATTCGTTTATGAGTACAGCAAATATGCAGAGATAACGAAACATATCTAACATCTAGATGATACAATAACATATAGAGAGATGTTTATTGACCACATAGTAATTTAATATATGTGACAAGTCAAAGAAGGAAACAATGTTTGATACAAAAAATACATTAAAAATTACAATTAAAAAAAAGTAGATGTTCTACGCGGGAACCCGACCGTAGGGGGGGGGGGGGGTGTCCGGCGGCGAGCCTCTCTGAAAATGGGGCTGACTATTTTGCTATTTAATATGTTTTTTTTTCAACATCATTCTCAATCAAGATGATGATTAGGGTAGACGTATTAGTTTTTATGCTAACCTTCACATGTGTGTATGCAAACGATTTCTCCGAAACCGACGCTATTGTATATCCGAATAAATATGAACATATTATTGATAATAGAACCGATCTCTCTACTCTGCTGATTAACTTTCAAGAAAAGTATAATTTACCAGTTGATGGATCGGTTAATAATGCAACAATCGAGTTTATGCGTCGACAGCGTTGTCAACACAGTGATACTGAATTTCGAATAGCTTCTCTATGGTTGAAACATAACCTACGATGGTATTTTCCTCAAAAAACATCTGAGGCCCAAAAAGATGCAGGAATGGCTTTTCAGATGTGGCAAAATGTTTCAAACGTAACATTTACAATGGTTATCAATCCCACTCTACATCCTCCTGATATTACTATAACTGTGGTTAGCAAGGCTCATTATTTTAGAACAAACTGAATGGGTAACGCTGCATATCCGATTGAATTAGATGGAGCTGGTGGTGTTTTAGGACATGCATACGCTCCCGACGCTAGCGGTACATGCAAAGAAATCCATTTAGATATAGCTGAGCCCTAGTATTTTGGGAATGATTCCAATATACCCCAAGATCGTACTACATAGTTTTATCATGTGTGTGTGTGTGGGGGGGGGGTAGGTCGGTGGGGATCCGGCGGGGGGCCTCTGGGAAAATGGGGCTCAACAGAGTACGATAATAGCGTAGATCCTTCTAAAATTTTCTGCACGAAATGAATCAGTGCACAGGTGAGGAGATTTCTAAACCATGTCCCTAACAATGGCGTGTTGAGTACAATTGTGCTATCCGTAGCACAATCAACAGAACCCCTATTTTGCTATTTAATATGTTTTTTTTTCAACATCATTTTCAATCAAGATGATGATCAGGGTAGACGTATTAGTTTTTCCCAGAGACTCCCCCCCCCCACACACACCATCTTTTTTACGCTCCAGCTACCTGCAAACCTTTTGACTTACCCTGTATAAAACATTCTTGACTCCCCCTGTACACTACACCTTACTATCATCACAACCGCAAGCGAACACAACAACACCGATAAGGTCGACCTGCAGCCGTCCGTCGGCTGTTTTGTATCACTTCCGGTCGGGTTCCCGCGTTGAACATCTACTAAAAAAGAAGTAAGACCTACACATGATAATGAAAATTTTAAATTTGTAAGATAAACACTCTTGTACAGTATAAAAGCAGCTCTGGCATTGAAATTATTGTAGAACAATGATATATTTTTGTGACAACTAAATTCATTGTCATATATACCAAGCAGTTACAAATATTCGACAAAAAACGTCTACTATAGATGTGGAAAGTGATAAGACTTCAACGTAAAACAATAGACTGCTATATGGTGGAGCAAGGGAAGTACTAATGTAACACTGTATAATTACTAAAAATGGACGAGGAATGTATCAATGTGCAGTATATTGGTATCTTGAACAATGTACTACATAGCATAGAGATAGGCCATCTTTTAATATCATTGATTACATGAACATGATCACAACTTTGAACAGTGGCTTACCTGAGCGGCCGCGTGTAACTTTTCAGGTACGCCATTGATGTTAATTTGAACTCATCAATGAGCCTTTGAAAGTCACTGTTTAGTAATCGGTTAACTGAGAAATCATCATCATAGTTGTCATGTCATATGTCATTCATCGTGTATCATTTGTTCAAAATTCATGTTTCAGTCCCTAATAACAGCTAAATAGGTTTTGAAGTATATTTGCGGTTATTTTCTAGTTTTTTTCCATTATAAAATAAGATTTGGAACGGTAACTTGCGGCTTCAACAGTATAACATTGTAACATGTCGTCTACACGGCTTAACCTTACATCGACAAATGATGTATGTAAAGTTTCTTAAACTTCTTGTTTTAGATGTTCCCCTCCCTTGGATACACGACGGCTTGTTTGGAGAATAGTGTTCAAACAGTTTGATCAATAATTAATTTCTACTTACATTCCTACAAAGCATAATATAGTTCAAGTTCATGGGAAAATTAATCAACTGCAGCCCCAAACAAGGCCAGACATTTAATCATATTGCTATCATTCAAAAGATTTGACGAAGTTAAATTGTTCTCAGTAAGAAGCTAATAACGTTAAGGTTCACTGTATTATTCTCTTCAAGATAGTCTTTCAAAAGCTGAAGACAATACATATTTTAATTTTATTGAATGATAACAGTATGATTAAATGTCTGGAATGACATATGACATGACAGCTACGATGATGATTTCTCAGTTAACCGACATAAATTGCATGTTTGTGATCCAAAATATCTGAGAAATTTTACCCTGTACTACCTAATACTGGAAAGTGCACTGATATAAAATGCATTTCATCAAATGTTAAATCGGCAGTAAGCAATTCTTTATTAAATTAGAATTCCAGAAGTCATTTTCTTAGGATGGATAATACGAGTATTTTAAAAATCACGTAAAGTGATCAGTACCTATATTCTAAACTGAATTGGTCCAATACTCATAATTTATATGAAAATATTAACCTGAATGACATCAAGCAAAACTGCAAAAATAGGTTTAGGTATAGATCTGAACAATTTATGACATCTAAGTAATTCATAGTAACTGGACAGAGTATCGAAAACTGGAAATACTGTAATTTTTTACCATTCATACGGTTTTAATGTATGGTAACTACCCCTTTTGTGATAATAGTTAGGTAACAATATCCCGTATTATTAGTGTGTTAATTAAAATATACTGATATCACAAATTGAATACGCTTCATGCGCACTATTCACAAGTTAACACATCAATATTAATATCATATACATTGTTGACCAGTAAATATTTAAACAAATAGTATTTCTATAATGTTATCTTCGAGTGGTAGAACTGGCGTAAGATGTAATAATAACATTGTTAAAACTGTGAGGGTATTCCATTCCTTTATCACTTATAACAATATTTGCAAAAATTTGCTATATTTGTGTTTAGTGACGAAATAACGAATCAAAATGTTGAAACACAATGGAATATCGTAGCATTTATAGGACTGTTTATTTGAAAAAAGTCAATCCGTTTTGCGAAAATAGCTATGTTACAATATTCCAAAATTAGTTTTTCATGAAATTCAATTTGAGATGTACGTATTTGCAAAAATTTTCTGTAGTTGTGTTTAGTGACGGAATAACGAATCAAAATGTTGAAACACAATGGAATATCGTAGCTCGTTTACTATTTATAGGACTGTTTATTTGAAAAAAACCCGATCCCTTTTGCGTTAATAGCTATGTTACAAAATTCCAAAATTAAAATTCAATTTGAGATGTACGTATTTGCAAAATTTTGTTGTATTTGTGTTTAGTGAGGAAATAACGAATCAAAATGTTGATACACAATGAAATGTCGTAGCTCGTTTACTATTTATAGGACTGTTTGTTTGAAAAAAGCCAATCCCTTTTGCGAAAATAGCTATGTTACAATACTCCAAAATTAGTATTCTATGAAATTCATTTTGATATGTATACATGTATTTGCAAAAATTTGCTGTATTTGTGTTTAGTGGTGAAATAACGAATCAAAATGTTGAAACACAATGGAATATCGTAGCTCGTTTACTATTTATAGGACTGCAAAAGCCAATCCTTTTGCATTAATAGCTATGTTACAAAATTCCAAAATTAAAATTCAATTTGAGATGTACATATTTGCAAAAATTTGCTGTCTTTGTGTTTAGTGACGAAATAACGAGTCAAAATGTTGAAACAATGGAATACTGTAGCTTGTTTACCATTTATAAGACTGTTTATGTGAAAAACGCCAATCCATTTTGCGAAAACAGCAATGTTACAATATTCCAAAATTAGCTTTCCATGAAAGTGACTTTGATATGTACATAGAATAACAAACTGCCTCCAATAATGTCGTCTAAACTGAATCGTTTTGTTGAGAAATTATGTGTCCAATACAAATATTATGGTAGGTATCTCAAGACACAACAGCTATCATTAATGCATAGTTATAATTTCATGCTGTCCAAACAGGGCAAGATATAGGTGCAGAATATAAATAAAGCACACTTTATAGATCAAGACATTGAGCATCTAAACGTTTCTGTCTCAAATGTCTGTCTTAATTATGGACTAAGGCTTAAAAATCAGTCAAGGGCAAGAATGAGGAATGTTGGAATACAAAGTATCACCACCAGACCATTTGCCTCGAATTGAGTTAGAACGAATTCGGTTTCACCACAGCCTTCTTTGGCGAGAAGAAGTACGGCCTGGAAAAAATAAAACTGGAATCATATAACAGTTCAGCAAAGAATGCGTGAGTAATGCTTGTGTCTACCTCAAATTCAACATTTTCCGCTACAAATATAAAAGTAATTTCGAAATAACGCAGCTGTCATCTGCAACTCAACAAAATCAATGTACCACTGTAAAGACTTTAGCAATGCAATGATGTTAACAAATTAACCCTATGCAAGGCGCGGAAAAAACGCAGAGCGCGAATTTTGGGGTAGACGCAAATGACACAGCACAACACAACACAACTCGCCCTTAAAAAGAGATAGGAGTCCTGAATAATGCCAGTGGAATATGGTTAAGCTAACTTTCGGACGACAATTATACAGGGTATTTCCGAAACATGGGGTGTATGAATATTTTCGAAATACCATGGTGTATCAAAGATACAGGTTTCTCAAGGGCGTCACTGAAACCGGTTAAATGTGTATTTCTTAAAATATTTGCCTTTAAAAAAACGAAATATATCGATTTCAATTTTTAAAAGCGCAAGACGGATATGTAAGGAAAAAATATATTATTTATTTTTAATACGAAACGGTGAAAACACTATCGGCTATGATGTGATGCCATAAAAATTGTAAACAAAGAAATATCATTTGTATGTCACGCGCCACTTGTTTTAATTGGTTCTAAAAAACCCCTAATCAACGTAAAAATAATCGTTTTCTCGATTTATAAGCACAAATTTGCCGAAAATTGACACGTTGATGTGCGTGTGATATAATGATAGACATAAAATGAATAAGTAATACACTTACATCTTCCGTTTCAGAAGTCATTCAAAACTAAGCTCATGCATCATAACATCTGAATAATTTTATCTAATATTGTATTTCTTCCTACGCATCCGCAAGGGAATCGTACGGTGATGATGCTGTAGGTTACATCCAACTCAAACAAGACGATAAAATCTGCACAGTAAAATGAAAAATATGTCCCAAACATAAGGTATGCTCCCAGCAATACACAGTGTTACGTACATTTATTTCACTGTGCACTCCAATCCACAGCTTTCCTGGGGTCTTTATCGATGTGATTTTACATTTTCGGACGATACAATAACAATAATTACTATATTCTTCTTGTAAACTAGTGAAAGAAATGTTGATATGTTTAAAAGTTTGACAGCTTATGCTGCTTTCAGCTGCTGTTTACAAATGGTATGACCTCAGAGCACATAAATAAACAAACATGGCGGTCAGCGATTTTACCTCTCTACGAAAAATATATATTTAAATTGTAGATTTACGATCTTTTAGGTCTGAAAAAATATAGTATTAATATGTTGGTCTAATAGAACAATTATTAACTATATTTAAGAACAACTTAAAAGAGTGTCTGTCAACTAGCCTATTATGATACTGATTCCAACACAGCGATTTCGACATTTCGAAAATAATGTAGTTTTGATAATAAATAGCGACTCAACACATACCGGGATATAAGTCTGCTGCAAGGTTGCTTTTCTCATAAACTGTTCATTTTATCAAAGTCAAAAAATAATAAATTTTCAAATAATGGGCCAGCCGTCCTCCTCTGGGTAACTGAATGGTCTTCAACCATCTGTATCTTCGAAATGAAGCGGTATTTCAAAAACCGTCAGAATAGACGAATGACCCTTTGAATTTTTGACCCTGTATTTTGAAATTACTTTTAACACAAGAAATGAGTTAGCAGTGTCTTTATAGAACATTTGATCCATTCAGTCACATAGGGAAGGATTAAAAACAATTGATATTTCTTTAAATCATATAAGTATAATAATGACAAAAAGGCATGTAATAACACTTTCAGGAAGTTTTTCATTTAGCTGAAATAAATTTCATCGTTACACATCGGCAAATAAAATACTATATAAATAGAAATTCTACGCCTCAATTACGACAAATATGGATGTTTTATACGTCTGAATGTATCCTACAATTCTGGATAGTAAAATCTTAGTTTAACGTCAAATTCAAAAGAAAGCACTAACTGATAAATTATGAAAGACGTAAAGTGAGCGAAGTGACGTCCACATTTCATTGGTCAACCATCAAGAAAACAAAAACGACACGGAATTTGGTGTGTCGTCAAGTAACGAATTTTGACGTCACTTCTTTTAATTATATCCTGAATACTCTTGTTATATGCTCTGCAAAAACAGCTGATCTTTAATTTCTTCTAGATACTGATGAGATGGGAAGCACATCAACATGACCATGGATGTTTAAAAAACTATACTTGTTTTTTAAGAATTTCATCCAAACAACCTACCTTTGGTCCAATGGTTTCACCCCATGTTCTTCTAGAAACTTATTAAAATCTATTTCCGGCAAGATCTGGAATAAATAAGATCATGTTTACTAGACATCATGGCGGTAATCGCACTAACCTTTGACTTTCATAACTGGCAATCAAAATCAACCTTGGATTCACATGCATATGAAATTAATTTTTTTGTTAGTTTATAACTTGTTACCACCTATTTTATTCTAATTCAATCATGTATATTTTTCTTTAACCAATGCAAAGCTGACATGTTCCTATTGAGGTTTCATATTTGCAAAGCAATTTGAATAAATGTTAACGTTTGTATTATTTATAAATATATATATGAGGGACAGTTAATTCTTAACAGAGAAAACATATTTTCAACGCAACCTTCCATGACTAGACTCGATTGTGCAATTCCCACTGACATCAGCAAGCAATATTTGGATATTTACATCTACGTCATTTTGCCTGGTAACGTTTTGCAACACGCAATGGCGCTAGTTTGTCTAGAATCATCACTATCAATGTATGACTTATGAAAATCCCAAGACGTTATTTTTAAAATACATTGGTGTCACGTTAATGAATCATTTAATTATAATTATCGAATTAATATTCTCCAATTCTGTTTATGATACATTTTACTGTTGAGTGCCGATAATAATTTCACATTTTATAATAAGTATGAAGGGTAATTGTACTCAAGTGTTATACAATCGCGTCTAATTCAATGAGGTAAAGAAGGAAAGACTATTTCTCATATTCAGGTGATACCCATAGGTCTCAACTCTAAACTTATTATATTATATGTATATATACATATATTTTTACTACTTTTTTATTTTTATTTTTTGTCATTTAATTGTTCATTTTCATAAAACACTAGTTGCTTTTTCATATGTCGAACAAAATGTTTAGTTTGTTTTAAGCATTTCCTGTTAGTGGGTAAGCTTGTGCCTGTTGGGAATCCATCCATCTTTCAGAATTTTTGAAATACTTTTGATATGTCACAGGAAAAAAGGAAACATCTGAACTAATATAGGCTCTTTGAGAATATGAATTCTTTTAATTGATAGTAATGTGTTAGTATTTCTTTATGGTGACAAAAATACTACTCAACTTTCAAGTGTCATGCAAAGTGACTTACTGACAAATGCTATCTTACCTTTGATGGCTGCAGGAACCTGTCAGGTATTCTAGAGGGATGCTTGAAGTCCCTCTTGGGGCCAAAGCCTAATTCCAAAAGCACAGTCTCAGGATCAGGTTTCCTAGATTCAAGTAACGATTCCAAACTTGAGCAGTGGGAACCATCATCAGACTGGAAAGAAGCACCTCTGGCTAGGAATCGCTCCTGAGATGCCTCTCTAGCCAGGAAGCGCTCCGCACTCTTGGAATTAGGACTGTAGATTTCAAATGGTTGCCTCAGTGGTGTTGAAGAGTTGTTACTAGTAGGAAGCATGTCGATCCATTGTTGAACCACTGCTGGGCTATTGCTCATCCTGTTACAAAAATATGGTTGATATATTTGTGATTTTTCAATTAGTATTTGAAATTCTATATTCAAGAATAGGAGGTGAAATTTCACCCCATCATGGATGTTTCAAGTAATGTAAGACTGACTTCCACAAAACTGGGTGTTTAAGAATCTTGCATTCGAGCTTCGTCGCACGAAAATGTCGAACACTTCAGAATTGATGCTTTGAGATTGGTGTCACACTGTGCTATAAGTTTTTTGGGGTTATTCGATTTTGGACAGGTGTTGCAAAAGGGGGTCAATTCGCCAATTTGTCAAAGAGTGAAAAATGTTGATTGTGACAATCAAGAAGGCACTTTGAGTACTGTGCAACATTTTAATTACCTTGCATGCAACATTCACATTTGAAAACACACTCTTGAGGTTTGCCACAGTGCTGAGCTAAAATTTTGCCAGGGAATCCAGGACAACATAATATATTAAGGCTTTCTAAAGAGTTGTCCTGAAGATCTGTTGTGCAACTCTAGGAAGTCACATACTCATGAATTTTCAGTGGAGCTGTGAAGGCCTGCAGCTTCTCAGGTATTCTGCTGATAAAGCTGTCAGCCTTTCCTCTACATATTTGTCACAGAAGAAATGTAATCCCTTCAGTCGTTACCTCCAGAATATTTGACAAACCCCACAGAAAAACTGATGTTCATTTCTCTCAGGAAAGAATGGCACAATTGAAGAGTGAGATAAAACTCTTGTGTACAGGCTGTACATACATACAAATATTTAACTCGGAATGAATCCAAAAACCATACAATTGACTTTACCTTCACTATCAACATGCTCACATGTGTTAACAACCTTCAGGTTTCAGCTAAAACATGAATTGCTACAGCAAAGTCATGTGTATAATTGAAAATATATGGTTACAACGATGATTAAGTTAAAAAGCTTCAAGTTATAGCAATTGAAAAGAGCCCACTAATCGATAGAAATAAAAAGAAGCAAGATCAGGTACTGTAGAAGATGTTACAAGTTGTACATTTCATAGGCAATATATTCTTTAAATTATCCTGTATCCATCTATCTATTTACAATAGATTATAGATGATTATGAATCAAAATTATTTACTTTCCATATCTCTGCCACCCCATAGAATTAAGTACCTTAAATAGTAAAGGGGATTATTCCTCACTTTAAACAATGACACAATACAAAGTAGTATACACAATCTAAGAACACATATTTGTGATGGGCTTTTAATGACCTGGATTTCTACTTTCCATCCAAACATTCCCACAATTTGCTTGATCTCTTATCGACAATATTACATACTCAAATGCGTAAGAACTTAAGTTTTCCTACGTTTTATCAAGATAAAAATCATTAGATCATATTTCCACATCACGGGATTCAATTGCATCTTTTATATTTTCCTTGTTCATTCATCCAGAGTTTCAAACAAGTAGGCATCTCTCCATATCAGTCACACTTTCCAATCAACAAGTAGCGAAAGCTAAACAAAAATACCTCATAAAAGATGGTTTGTTGATTTCGTAATTTAAATTTGTCCTCAACACTTCTCACACACAAGCACTTGCAAAACTCAGTCTACATAACCATGTATATTAATAGCTTACGGCAAAAACTATTGATTTAATTACCTTTGTAACCAGAAACTGTGGCACAAATCCTCTTGCTATTATTAAACCACATAAATGAAAACAATCAAATCAAAGCTGACAGTCTTATCAGAGGAGGGCAGTCCCCCAACGGAGACGTCACTTTATTGTGCACTGTTGCCAAGTATATTATCGAGAAAATGCAAGTCAGGAGTGTACGAGGCGTTACAAATACGCACAAACGGCAACTCAACCTATATTGCGATTGTCAATAAGCATGAAACAACCCTATGTTGGTCTGAAGGATGAAAGCAGTATGATTAGCTAGTTTTCAATGGCGAGTAGACCATCATCTATTACATCGCCAGAATCGACGGCATCAAGCGATCACAGTGATGACTCGGCTTTTGACGGAAACTGATACACCTTTACGATTCTAACAGATAGCTGCTAGTCACTCTCGCAGTGATCGATTCTCGTAATTGATGACACTTGTACGACCGTATTTGGATAGAGACCTTATACCTCCGATAGAGGATACTTTGCGCTCGATTTTCGTTCCCTGTCGACCTAGAGGCCAAACCCAAGCCATGCTGATGCTTGGCAATAAGTATGAAACAGATGTACACGGATATGGCCCTCTGCTGGTCAGACGGAGGATATTAGTTTTCAATGGCGAATTGTTGCGTAATGAACATGGATCGAAGAATCAACCAGAAACAATTTTTGCATTTGTACATAGCCGCCGCACTTAAATATTGTTGATCACGGTCCTCAAGGAATTTATAAAAGCATGAAATTGCTATAAGAGATGCTTGCTAACAAAATCTGTGGTGCTGTATATGGTTAATGAAACCTGCAGTTTTACATTTTTTAAAGTTGATGTCAGCAAGTGAATCACTCGATAATATTTAGGCGCTATTAAACGACCGTAGACATTTGATTCAATTTTAACGTTGAGATATCCTATACACTGAATCTGTATATGATGAAGTAAATTGCATGAAATTTTCTACAATCTGTCAATGTTACGTAAATACACATGTTAGAATCTGACAGGTTGTTTACACGTGACAGTTGTTTTCTAGTGGCATTCATAGGAATTAAGGCAATCTCAAGGTTGGTATAAAAGGTTGCGTCTGGGCAGTATTGCCAAGCGATGAAAAATTCAGTTATGTAGGTATTTTGTTTCCAGAATTATCAGAGGGGAAGACTTAAATCTTTGTGCCTACTAGACGACCTAGTGAAACTACACAATCATGTACAATTAAGTATGCCAAAAACTAGAAAAAAAAATTAGGTGAAATATAGCAATTTTCTATTTAGCAATTAGCAGTGGCATTAGCTTTTAAGTGAGAACATATATTCAGATAGATAGAAATGTAGACAGAACGCGAGCTGTTGTTCTGTATCTACTGATATTGGTAAACGTAAATTTCTGTTATTGTGCAAGCGATTTTAGGACTGCTTGTATGTTCAGATTTTCTTCAGGGTGACGTGGCAACGCTGCGATTCAAAACATATTCCAAGAATTTAATGAATATGACGTCACGAAAGGTGAAAGCTGCGGTATCCCAGGAAGAAATCGCCTCTATCTAGCGAATTCTTTATCAAAGTAACTGAAAACCAATCGTCAATTTTCTTGTCCGAGCAAAAAGTTTTTCAGAACGTATTTTCACCAGTTTGACAAAAAAGCAAAGCCGGAAAGTAGTGGTTGTTGTGGTCCCCGGGTAACTAGATTTGACAGATGTTACGGTAACGTAGGGTAGTGAAAAAAACTTTTTTCAAAGTGCATTTAAATTCTAATAACAAAAAAAATAATGGACATTTAAAAGTTGGACATTCTGTGTTACGGACATGACGAGGAAGGATAATCTAGCAGGAGGATAGGCTCTCAAAATGACGAGGAAAAAATGAACGATGACGATAGCTTGGTCAGTATACTTTTTGTTTAATTGATCAATTTTTGTATAATTTTGCACTGTTCATTTCTACAATTTCTGCATAAATCTTAGTTCTGTAGCCACCAGATTAGAATAGACAGTAGTTGGTTCTTCAATATCATATCTCTAGAAAACCCACAGGCCTACAGCAGACAATAGTCTAGGATTGTTGCACTTTTATCTATTACCCTCTTTTAATTGTTTTTGTACAGTACTTCAAAAGCAGGAAAATCTGGTTGCTTCAGATATATCTGATAGAAATACTGGGAGGGGATTTAAAGATTTATGAAAACTCAGTGTTTTTTGTGTGTACTGTTTATGCTCTGCTCTAGTAGTTATCTGTACTTTTAGTCCATAAAAAAACTAAAAAATATAAAATTTTTGTGTTATACACGCCTTGGAAAAAGATAGATATCAAATATTGGAAGTACTTTTTTAAACCAATATTCCAAATACTTTATTAAGAGATAAATAATGGCCCACCATGTTTTTTTCACGTAACAATAATTGAAGCCATATGACTGAAAAAAAAAACAATTTTATAAAATCATTCCTTATGAAGCATTATTCATTTTATATAAAGTTCCTCAATTACTTTATGCTGTTTTTCCCCAAAGTTTATTCATCAATTACCTTTCTCTCTCTTCCCTCTACAAAATGTTTACTTCACTTTCTTAATTCTGTCTGACTAGTCTGGGATCTCTCATGTCTGTCAGTAATCATGCATCTGCATATGGTGCGGGGGTGGATCTAGGGGTATGACTTGGTGGTCTTGAAAGTCTCCCGAGTTTAAAAAATATTTGAAACTTTTTTTTTAATTTACGCAAACGATCCCCTCCCCCGACCTACAATTTTGTTCGCCGTTAATGTTTATCAAGAAAAAGTGAAGGCTTGCGAAGTTTGTCGCACATTTGTCAAGTAACAAGAAACATAGATGGGTTGTAGGCAGTGGTATGTAGTTCAGGAACGAATTAGTTCAATTAAACGAATCTTATGATTGAACTAAGTGAACTAGTTCATCGTTCTTTGAAAAACTCGTTCACTCGTTCGCTACGAACGACTGATATTACAGGATCCCGATTATCCAGTCGAATTAGTTGTGAATGAACGATAGTGAACGAGATAGGAGAAAAGAGACGGAACACAACCGTAAGCAGAAGGTTGTATAACTGGTTGTCTGGAAGTTATGAAAAATATGATAAATGATGTTAGTTGCGGCTCATGAAGAAATTAAAACAATACTAAAATGAAAATGTATATTAACTACAAATTTTCATTTAAATACATTGATTTTTTAACTTTATCCCCTACTAGTATAGTTCTGCTGACAAGACTGCTTGCTCAGCCTTCAAGAAAAGCCGCTCGCATAGCACAGATGGCAGATATAATAAATATTTTTTAAAACCATCTCAACTGATCTGGGACAGATTTTTTTCGTTCCTGGCACCACTTCAGGAGTAAAAACGATTCATGAAAATATTTATCTCGTTCGGTAATGCCTGCTGCGACTTGATTTTAAACTTTAAAAGGTCTGATACTGTTTTCTTCTTCTTCTTCAATTCATTTTCCGTTTGGCTTTTCTCTGTGATAATAAAAGCTAATCTCGCGAAAGGAGGACATCTACATACCTAGGGTTGCCTAGGTTTGTATTATTTATTGAAAACCTTTTGAACTGGTGAAATCAAAAGCAATAGTGTACATTATGTGAGATGGTTAGAACAAAAAAAAAAATAAAAGAAAGACAACAATCCGATTTGCCCAGCGGAGAAGACAATAATAGTTTAGAGAAATCAATTGTAATAAGACGCGTATGCGTATGTATTGTAGAGTATTAATCTGTCACTGACCCCTCTTCAATTCAAAATGCGTTCGTACGGGCTGACGGGAAAGTGCTGAACAATTACCAATTCAAATGTCAATAAGGATCACGTTGTGAATTCAAGGACTTTTTAACATTCTTCGCGTGCATCTTATTCTGTTCAAACCAATGACGTTTTTCTCGTCGATCGCCGCAAATCTACGAGGGTGACAAATGCGGCCACGTATATCGACATAATTTGGCACAAGATTGTCTTAAGAAACCTCCCCAAACTGAAGATTGACTTGGAAAATCTATATTCATTCATCATTATAAGATAATTGCGTGTTAAAGATGCCAACAAAAAACACAGAAGAGCGACTTCTTGTTATTATTAATTGGCTGTTAAGTCCCGTACCGTAAACAAAATGTTTCACAAATTTTTAGCTGAGAGATTGGATTAAGAAAAGAGAAAGAACAATTTTATGGAAACATTATTAAAACAACTAGGACGGGTAGATCGTGATTCCAATTTTCTATATTATATTAAGTATATAATTATATAATAAAATGGTCAAAAGACCTTGCAATCACCTGAGCACGCGCGGCTTGGTGTTTTCTTGCCAAGACGCACATGCAGAGACTGCTAGTCCTGCAAAACAGAACCCTACGCACAATTACTAACGCCCCTTGGTACGTGTCAAATGAGACCATTCACAGAGATCTTGATATTCCATATCTAAGGGATTATGTAAAACAACAGGCGCAGCGGCGTTATAATTAAGCGGAATCGCACAGCAACCCTCTGTTGCGTGATTCAGTAGCCTACACAGTAGAGCAAGTTCGCAAACATTCCAGGCCGCGCCTCGCACTGTGATCAAAATTAAATTGTAAACTCAGACCACCCAAAATTATTGCAGTATACAAAACCGAGTTACAAAATAATTTGAGTAGTCAAAACAATAATACTTAAGCTATTCCAAATGATTTACTTCTTTTCTTTGCTTTATTTCTTCCTTCCTTTCGTTCCTTCTTTCTCTTTTCCCCTTAAACATGTGTGGTATCTGGGTAGCCAGACCTGACAGACCAACAGACCGACGAGGCTTTTAACTAAGAGCAAAGGTCGACCGGACCGCTCTGACGAATAATGACGAATAGTATAGTGTTTCCACAATGAAATAATACTTTTCATGAAATTTTTATTTCACGAGGCAATAATATCACGAAAAAATCTCATTGTGGATCTACACCTTACTTCAGAATTACTATGTCTTCAAAATCGGTATATGGGATCCATTGCCAAAATTACTAAAACCAGAGTGGTTTATTCGTTGTACCTAGGATGTACATATCATATGAAAATGGTTTTATATTTCAATCACTCTCGTATCATAAAGTATACACCATTAAATAACGTACAGTTAGTTTCTACGCGGTATAATGGCATGGATGAACCTCTAATTATATCTTGGACGCACACTTATTCCGGAAGAAGATAATTTGGTTTCTCTGAATCAGGACTGTTGTACGTTGATAATCTTGAGTCTACTTGAAGGATGGATATGTAATTCGTTTATAATGGGGAGGCCATTACTCGTAATGCTAATAAAACAGATGAAGATAGTACTAAAGAAAATAGGTAATTTTTATTTATGAGAAAACTAATATCATTTATGGAATG